TTCTCAAGATGGTTTTCCTTATTTAAATATTTTTTTTTTTATTGAATCATCGTGAGAGAGACCATCACAAAACTATTCATGTTTGGGTTTCAGTCATACAATGTTCCAACACTCAGCCTTTTACCAGTGCACATTTCCCACCACCAGTGTCCCCAGTTTCTCTCCGGCACCCCACCCCCACCTCCAGATGGTTTTTCAAAGGGACCATCCGAGCATCCTTGGAGGGTGGGGCCCCCACTGGCAGCACGGGGACCTCCTGAGCCAGCCCAGCAGTGCGCAGAGGCCAGGAGGGTTATACCAGGGGTGCTGGAGGGACTCTGTGGGACCAAGGACTCAGACAGGCCAGGCACGTGTCCCACCACCTGAGCTGTGTTCATATATATTCCTAGTCCATTAATCTCCATAATTTTCTCATCACTTCATTTATTCATTCTATGCAAATGAAGTCTTTCAGATTGAGCGCTTTTCAGTTCACTAGTTCCGTTTTTACTTAGATCTGCTGCTGCATTCACACCCTGAGTCTTCTGCTTTAATCATATGTATATATAATATTTTTTAAGCTCATCTAGGGTTCTTTTAATAGCATTATTTTATTCATCTATTTATAGACTTGCACTTTGAGGCGCTCACAAATCATTCCGTTATTTATATATTAGGTGGCAAAACAATCCGATACACTTTTTTGAAGTAAACAAACAGATTTGATTTGCAGGTTTTTGGATGGGAGGAGGGAGAGAGAGTGGGAGAGAATGGAGAGTACCTTGCTCGAGAGAGAGCACGGGGTTCCCCAAAGGCAGAGAGAGCCCCTACACACACCCCAGCATCAGACAGGAAAGTCCATATCTCAAGAGGGGAGACGCGGGCCGACACCTGTGCTCAAGTGCCAGATGTGCTCTGTCTCGGGCACAAGCAGCACATGGGCTCGGCAGCAGATGTACCGCAATCCAGTACATTTGAAGAAACAATGAAAATGATACAAGACTTTTGCGAGGTGACCTGCATTCCTAAGAGGTGACAGAATATTATTGTGGGTCGGAACAGTCAAGAATGCTGAGACTGGGGACTGGAGCAATAGCACAGCGGGGAGGGCGTTTGCCTTGCACGGGGCCTACCCGGGTTTGATTCCCAGCATCCCATAGGGTCCCCTGAGCACTGCCAGGGGTAATTCCTGAGTGCAGAGCCCAGAGTAACCCCTGTGCATCACTGGGTTTGACCCAAAAAACAAACAAACAAACAAACAAACAAACAAACAAAAAAGAAGGCTGAGACTGAAAAGCATTCTCAAAAATCCTTGGCTATCATCTCATATCTCAAAGTCCAGTGTCACTAGGCAAATGACAATAAAAACCTATTTATACTGGTTTCCACCATCATCACAGAAATGAATAGGGAAGTGAAATTATAGGAACTTATATTTTCACACTTGGTTTTATGGGGTAATATTTAATAATATATGTGTTTATATTGATATATATGTATATAAATATACACTTAGTCCTATGTATGTTTTTATAACTCAGTAACAGTACACACATACACACACATACACACACACATAAAGCCTTACCCATTGGACAATTTTTCTTACAATAAATTGTTTACCTAGCTCAATTAACTGATTGTTTTATGTTTTTATCCAACATCTTTTTAACCTACCTCTCAACTGTGAATCAATAGAAACATCTCAACAAAAGAGGCATTCTTTGCTACAAACGCTCTCTCTCCGAGAGCTGCCTTAGTGTGTTTGCTTCTCAGGCTGTAGATCCCTGGACTGAATATTGTGGGCACTACCGTATACATAATAGTGGGCAGTCTGGGGGACCCAGTCAGGGAGTCCGAATGAGGCTTTACTCAAAGCTGGTAGTAGAAATCAACAATGAAGCAGATAATAAATCCATAATCAATCAAAAACAGCGAGGTGGGAGAGGCAAGTGGAAAAGGCCTTGGCTCTGCCCTCAGCAGATGGCATCCTCAGCACCAGAGAGAATATGTGCACATGGACAATACAGTGAAGATGACACAGAGAAAAGCCAGCAAACACGGAGATGTGACACCAGCCTTGCTGCACTGTCATTAGAGCAGGAGAGTTTCATAATCTGGGGGAATCACAGAAGAACTGGTGAATGATACGGGGGGCCACAGAAGTGGATGGAAAAAGTAGCTGCCGTATGCATGACTCCAGAGAGGGTCCCACAGACCCAGACCCCGGCGACTCCATGGACACAGGTTCTGACATCCATGATGATGTCATAGTGCAGGGGCAGGCAGATGGCCAGTAGCGGTTATAGGACATCACTGTGAACATGGCCATCTCGGCAACTGCACAGAGGATGAAGACAGAGCACTGAAAAATGCATTTCCAGAAGGAAATGTTTCCTCTATGCAAGAAAGAGTTGCAAATGAATCTTGGGACAGACACAGAAATGTAGCAGAGATCCAGCAAGGAGAGATGCTTCAGGAAGAAATACATGGGGGACTGGAGACTGTCATCCAGGGAAGTGGTGGTGATGATGAGCATGTTGCCAGTTAAAGCCAACACGTATAAGACCAAGAACAGAGAAGCACAGAAGATTTCTAGCTCAGGCTGGGCAGAAAACATCACGAGAAGAAACCCACTACTGGTGAAATTAGCCATAGCCCTTCTTAAACTTTAAATTGATGTTGGCTGAAAGACAAATGAAAGCACAGCTAAGTGTTTGTTATTGATCAATCAACCTATCAATAATGAAGTTTATGTAAGAAATAAAAAACACTACTTCCTGTTATAAAGATGAAGTAGTTTTATGTAGAGATAAGGCAATTGTAACAGCTGCTGGTGTAAAATATAAAATAACTTTATTAATGAAATACCAAATACTTTTATTAATGAGACGGAGGCATTGAATCTTGAACCTTATTCACCTTCAAAATTTTATTCCACTCAAAACAAGCATTTATAAATAAAATGATAATTTATCTGCACTTATTAATATTTCCACTATTCATATTTAACTATAACTACTCTGATTTTTTTACTACAATTTCATAATTTGGTTTTATATACAGAGTAAAATTTTTAAAAGCAAAATGCTCTTTCTTATAGTTGGAGTAAAAGATAATCTGGTGTTCTGGGTATTAAAAAGTTTTATGCAATACCCTGGGGTCCAAACTTGCAATTATATTGGGTTTTCTTGAAACATATTTTTCTGTTGAAGTTATCTAATGACCTAATTACTGGGAGTACTGATTTGTTTGTGTTAATTGGATCATATAATAAAATAATAACTTGCGTTTTAATTTCAGGATATCCAACAAGGCAAATGAAATCATTTTAATCAATTTAATAATTGGAGATCAATTTAATTTTTAATTTGATCTTAGTTTAAGGCACAAGATTTTCATTACCTTTCATTAAAGAGAGGATAAAATACCAATATTTTGCTGTCAATGAAGCAAAGAAAATATTCTAGTCTTTTAAAAATTAATTTTTTAAACATTTTTGTAGTTTAGGCAACATGGTCATAACAATATTAAGGCTTATAGTATCTGTATACAGATTTCCTGCACCCCACCATCAGCAAAGTATTCAAGCTTCTCTACCTACAACTGTTCCTTTGTCACCTGTCACCTGTCGTCTGCCTCTAACTTCCTCACTCTCTGTTCCTCCAATGTTTGTAACCTGAGTTTTGTAATCCAAGACCCAGGGTTTGTCATTATTAGGTATTATTCAATATTGTTTGATACTCTTGATTTTCCTGAGTGATAGCACAGTGGATAGGGCGTTTGTCTTGCATGTAGCCGACCGGGTTCGATTCTCCATCCCTCTCAGAGAGACTGGCAAGCTACCAAGAGTATCCTGCCTACACTGCAGAACCTGGCAAGCTCCCCGTGGCATATTCGATATGCCAAAAAAACAGTAACAACAAGTCTCACGATGGAGACGTTACTGGTGCCTGCTTGAGCAAATCAATGAACAACAGGAGTGCAGTGCTACAGTGCTACAGTGCTACTCTTGATTTATTTTTCTGTGTCTCACAGAGAAGTGAGATCACCTCGTATTTGTTTTTTTGTCCTTTGACATATCTCACTTAACACGACATCTTCAAGTTCCATCAACTTTTCAGCCAACTGCATGATTTCGTCTTTTCTTAAGGCTGCATAGTATTGCATTATGTATCTATATAATAACTTCTTTATCCATTCATCTCTCATTGGACGTTTGTGTTGTTTCCACATCCTGGCTATTGTTAGAAGCATTGCAATGAGAGTGTTTGTGCATAGTTGTCTGTTGTCTATTCCCCCCAAAGCAAGGAAAGATAAAACAAACAGATGCTTTGAAAAGTGTTGATAGGTAACTGTCATAACTTTCTTTCTTTTCACTGTAACTTGCTTATTTATCAAGATAGTCTATGCTTTGTGTTGTTGGATCACACCCAGTGCACTTACTCCTGGCTCTGCACTCAGGGATATTCTTGCAGTCCTCAGAAGACCACACGGATGCTGGAGATTGAATTGGGTCAGTGTCCTACCCACTGTGCTATTGCTTTGCCACTCTCAGGATGGTTTTCCAAAAAGAATCATTCCAAGCAGGCCTGTGGGGTCTGGATCCACTACTGGTGTTGGTCAGCCTGTTGTGTGGGAACCATTTTATCTACTCCAGTGGAGATTGTAGGTCATGACGTTTACACCCAATGGTGATGGAGGAGCTAATTATGCCTGGGATCAACTCAGGGCGATTATATACACCATGTATGTTTTCTACCACTTGGTTTTGTGGGGTAAGATTTAATCAGCTATATTTTCAAGACTGATATTTATGTAGGTGCATTTTGAGTATTTTTACTTCTCAGGTTACATACATTTCATGAAAACTTACCCTTATGATATAAACCCATAAAACATTTCTTGCACTTCTTTATCTTGACCTAATTTATTGACTATTATTATTACTACCACCCAATATTTTAACTTGTTTCCCCACTGAGAATTAATATAAGTACTTTCACACGAGAAGTGTTCTTTTATCTTTGAAATACCTTTCTTAGAGCTGTTTTGATGGCTCTATTTCTCAGGCTATAGATCACTGGATTAAGTGTTGGGGGCACAACCGTATAAAGAATGGTCAGCAAAATGTCCAGCACATTTGGAGTGTCAGAGTGAGGCTTCAAAAATTCAAAGGCACTAGTAGAAATGAATAGTGTGACAATGGCGAGGTGTGGAAGGCAGGTGGAAAAGGCCTTGGCCCTGCCCTCCGCAGATGGCATCCTCAGCACGGAAGAGAATATGTGCATGTAGGAGAACCCAATAAAGATGACACAAAGAAATGCCACCAAAGCCAAGAATGCAGTGACACCGATCTCATAGACATAGTCATTAGAACAGGAAAGTTTTAGGAGCTGAGGAATATCACAGAATATCTGGTGAATCACACGGGGGCCACAGAAGTGGATGGAGAAAGTAGCTGCCGTGTGCATGGCTCCAGAGACGGCCCCACTGACCCAGACGCCGATGACTCCATGGATGCAGGTTCTGCTATTCATGATGACGTCATAGTGCAGTGGAAGGCAGATGGCCACGTAGCGGTCATAGGACATAGCCGTGAGCATGGACAGCTCAGCAGAAACGCAGACAATGGAAGCAAAGCACTGCACGACACATTCCCAGAGGGAAATATTCCCACTGTGCATGAAAGAGTTGTAAACGAATCTTGGCACAGTCACAGAAATGTAGCAGAGATCCAACAAGGAGAGATGCTTCAGGAAGAAATACATGGGGGACTGGAGACTGTCATCCAGGGAAGTCGTGGTGATGATGACCATGTTGCCAGCAAAAGCCAACAAGTACAGAACAAGGAACAGGGAAGCATAGAAGATTTCTAGCTCAGGCTTGGCAGAAAACCCCATGAGAAGAAACCCTCTCATGGTGACATTAGCCATAGTCTCTCTTCATAGCTGATTGATGTTGCCTGCAAGACAGATGACAACATTTAAAGAGAAATATTTTGTTACTTACTCTAAGTCTCTGTCACTAATGAGGTTCGTGTAAGAAATGGGCATCAAACTTCATAAATGGAACAGGTAGAGCACTTGCCTTACCTGCGATTGACCCCGTTTCAAGCCCTGGCACCCTTAGGACACCCTGAACACCTTCTGGAGGAAAATCTGAGCACAGAGCCAAAACAAATCCGAACAAAAATTTAATAAATACATTTTCAAGTGAATTAGTTTTGAATAATGATGATCACATCAAGTAAATTTAATGACTTTTTCAGTTCATGAACTTAGTTTAGGAAGTTAACAAAATTAGAAAGCTAATGAAATTGATAAAATTTTGCATTTCTATCTCATTTTTAAGAGGGGAATGTCTCATAAAAGTAAATATTTTATTACTGTGGCTATGCATTTTTTTTCTTTTTGGGTCACACCTCAGTGATGCTCAGGGGTTACTCCTGGCTCTGCACTCAGGAGTTACTTCTGGCGGTGCTTGGGGGACCATATGGGATGCTGGGGATCAAACCCTGGTCGGCTGTGTGCAAGGCAAACACCCTACCCACTGTACTACCTGTCTGGTCCCCAGCTATGCACTAATTTTATTTATCTCATTTTTTTATTCCTCTCAAAGTACATATTTATAAATAAGCCTTTCATCAACTGTAGTTTCTCATTAAAGTTATACCTATTCATAGGTATATTCCTGCAACCTCAATTATATTATTGATGCTTCATAATTTGATTTCATGTAGCACTGTAGCACTGTCCTCCCGGGGTTCAATGATTCGCTCGAGTGGGCACCAGTAACGTCTCCATTGTGAGACTTGTTGTTACTGTTTTTGGTATATCAGATACGCCACGGGGAGCTTGCCAGGCTCTGCCGTGCAGGCGGGATACTCTCCGTAGCTTGCCAGGCCCCCCAAGAGGGACGGAGGAATTGATCCCGGGTTGGCTGTGTCCAAGGCAAACGCCCTACCCGCTGTGCTATTGCTCCAGCCCGTTAATTTGGTTTCATAAGAAAGAAAAATTTATGAACACAAAAAGGTTCTTCCAAATACTTTCCCCAGAGTTAAGGACAATTACTGGATGGTTTCACTCTGATATGGGATATAAATAATCAAAGGAAATGAACTCGCTAAAAACAGCAAAATAAGCCCTTAAGATCTGTGTAAACTCGAGTGATTACCTGAGAGAAAGGGAAGGAGGGGAGAAATTAGGAGAAAGTCTTGTTTTGATTGTCCTGGCTTAGAGATCCAACTATATATTTATCTGAACTAAGATTAAATAGTTGGCACACTGGTGACTAATGAAATAATCATTAGTTTTGTAAATCCATTTCAGAAAACAAGTGCTTTGCAATCATATTTTAAAGCCTCCTAAAATCTTCCCTCATAAATAGTTGCTCATTTGTATTTGGCTCATTTGTATTTGTATTTGGACTGGAGCGATAGCACAGCGGGTAGGGCGTTCGCCTTACAAGCGGCCAACATGGCCGACCCGAGTTCGATTCCTCCGCCCCTCTCGGAGAGCCCGGCAAGCTACCGAGAGTATTCGATATGCCAGACACAGTAACAACAAAGTCTCCAATGGAGACGTTACTGGGCCCGCTCGAGCAAATCGACGATCAACGTTAGGGCTCGGAGAGCCCAGCAAGCTACCGAGAGTATTCGATATGCCAGACACAGTAACAACAAAGTCTCCAATGGAGACGTTACTGGGCCCGCTCGAGCAAATCGACGATCAACGGGAGGGCCTTTACCTTTACCTTTACCTTTACCTATTTGTATTTAGGATTATCAATGGTTTAGTTGCTAAACTAATTTTAAATAAATCCATGTCTCTTAAATGCTAATTGTTTCTTGATTTACTTAAGAAGTTGGTTAACTATAAACTTGTTTGGCTTAAGTCTATAAACAAAGATAGATATTTGTCTTCATTAAAAGAAACTTTTCAGAGTGTTGCAATAATTATGCTTCAAAGTAAGCATAACTTTCACTTAAAATTTTAATATATACTGTATGAAATAACTAAATTCCCTATAAAAAATGAAAAAATGACTTTCTACAGTGTTGTTAATGGTAAAATACACAGCTGACATACATTTGATTACAAGAGTCATGAAACACAATTTTGAAGCCATACAAATTCACCAGATTCAAAATATAAAATATTATTTATGAATAAGTAAATCTAAAACGTGCAAGTAGTTTAGTTATATTTGTGTATACTTTCTATAAAAAATAAGTTGTTTAACAGGAACTATACAAATCTAAAACTTCAACCGAGCAAATTTATGTTTAACCAACATCTTAAGTAAATCAAGAAACAATCCGCATTTAAGATACATGGATTTATTTTAAATTAGTTTATCAACAAAACCATTGATAATCCTAAATATAAATGAACGACACTTTATGAGGGAAGATATTAGGAAACTGAATTGAACTGAAACTGAAAATATGACTGCAAGGAACTTTTTTTTCCCCCTGAGATAGAATCATAGTATCTATTGAACCAGACAAATCACATACCTGATGATTTCCAAACATGTGACCAGAAATGGATTAGAAAAGATAAAGAGCATAGAGGAATTAGACACAAAAAAATGTCATTATTTCTGACTGGCGAGTGTATGGTTATGTTTATTGCTTATCCAGAGGTTGCTAGTCTTACCCAGAGGCCGATCACAAACTGAATCTTTGTTTTCAGTTTTTCAGCGCCAATTCCAAGAATAAATCTGAATTAATTGACTTAGAAGTTGATGATGATGCGTTTTCCTTCTCCTGTTATGTATCGAGTAATCACGTGGAGAAAATTGGTCTAACCTGAGACTGATGGAGAGGACTTGACCTAGAGGAGACCCTTCTCATGCCACGTCAACTTTGACCTATATGAACACTGGATCCCCCTCGTTGCGTATTTGTAATACTTGTGTAACATCTTCATGGCTGTGTGCATGAACACAGGACAGTGTTCTGTGTTCAGAATTTGTATGGCTTCAAAATTGTGTTTCATGCTTCTTGTCTCAGAACACTGTTTAAATTAAACTAATTTTATATCTAGAATACATGGATAGAAAGCTTCACGTGATGATACTTTATGCTGCTTGACATGATAAAGACAAATTGAAACATTTTTTGCTTGCAACTGAAATTTACCAGGTCAATTATTGCAGCTTCCAGAAACTTCCATTTCTCTGTGTTTGAAAAATGCGTTTACTTTACTGTGTGAACCACAGGAGAATTTCGTTCATATATATTGAAGTACTGATTATTTACACAAAGTTTTGCAAGCTTTTTCATCAGTTTATAACTATTGTTGCTATTGTTCATATAGTGCCCATATAGTAGAATAATATTCAGGTTTTGTTCTTAACTTTATATGTATCTCTCTGTCCCTTGAAAATATACTAGCACTGTAACACTGTCCTCCCGTTGTTCATCGGTTTGCTCGAGCAGGCATCAGTAAAGTCTCCATTGTGAGACTTGTTACTGTTTTTGGCATATTGAATACGACACAGGGAGCCTGCCAGGCTCTGCAGTGCTAGCTGGATATTCGGTAGCTTGCCGGGCTCTCCGAGAGGGTGGAGGAATCGAATCCAGCTCGGCCACGTGCACGGCAAACATTCTACCCCCTGTGCTATCGCTCCAGCCCTGAAAATATAGTAATAAATCTAATTATGTCTATTACATTATATATAATTTAGATATGAAATCATTTGTCTGTAAAAATAAGTTTTACTACCTTTGGCATATGAATACTGAGCTAACCTTTATTCAATTTTTTTAATTGAATCACCATGAGAACAGTCACAAAGCCTTTCAGTTTAAGTCTCGGTTGGTCATACAATGATCAAACACCCGTCCCTTCACCAGTGCACATTTTCCACCACCAAGAACCCCAGTATACCCCCCTCCCACCCACCTCCCATCAGTGTGGCAGCTTTCTACTTTACTCTCTCTCTCTACATTGATCACATTCAATATTACGACAAAAGACCCAACATTATTATTTGGAATTTTCCCAAACATTCAGACCTGCCCAAAAGACATCATTAGAGAAATTGTTTTCTATTGCTGATTATGAAGAGCTTATGATGTCATGTGGCCGCACTGGTGGCCATGCGAATTTGAATTTCTGATATTTTAGTAATAAGCCTACAGGGATTACTGCCAAAAGCCCCTGGGTTCAGAGATTGGTGTGTGTGCCTCTGGGATCATGGTCATTCAGAAGCGGAGGAGGCATTTGAGGGTGGCAACTCAGGGCATTGTTATGGTGGGGAGCAGGGCCAATTCCACTCCCCATCCCAAGAGGTGTGTGTGTTTTTTTTTTTTAACCACACCTCTGTTGTTGGGTAACATTGCTTTGTCCTTCAAGAAGCTTAGGTTTTATCTGGTTACACCCACCTCAGTGCTCCTGAAGCACTTCCACTTCCATTGTGTTTATCTGTAAACAGTCTTCCCTATGCTCTCCCACCCAGTTAATCAGCTTTCCCCTTAATCAGACTTTGTTAATTTGTAAGATCAGTTTCCCAGAAATCTATGATTTTATATGTATGAGTGAAATATTGCCTTTCTCCTCTCCTTATGCCTTATGAACAGTTTACTTTAAAGTAATATCCTTTTGTATAGATACAGAAAGACCGTTAACATTATGCTTTGTAATTTAGGATTTGATTGGCCTTGAATATTATTCACTCCCGGGCATCATCTTTCTCGACTTAAGCCTCAGTTGCCCATAGTTCCTAACACCCCAAAAGCAGGGTCCCGACGAGGGACTGAATGGACCCAGGGCAAGCAGTGAGCTAACCTGGCAGCGAAATGGGCCAGGCCAAAGTGCCACGATTCTTAACTATAAGTTAAGAGTTTGATCATAGACAAATGCTGTCATGATCCAAAGGTAACGACAAGACTAGGATCCTGCTAGGGGTGGGAAAGACTATCTGG